GGTCCAAAAGCTATTCCCTTATAGATATACGTCTGATTCTGAAAACCGTGAAAACCCTGCCATAACAAATAAATATATATAAATATATATATATATATATATATATATATATATATATAATATTATCAGCAACGAATTGGGTTATTTGGTCCAAGACATTTAATTGCTACTCAGAGTTTCATGCTCCATAAGGAGCAATCATCAGGCAACTTAAATCAGGTGCTGACCTCCTTTACTTTAGGTCATGTAATACAGAATATCGGTGGAATTATCGCACGTGTATATAACCTAAATAATTGCTGTAAATTTTAGACGAAAATATTGATTGAAAAAGGAATTTAAACAAACCAACGGACAGGCAATTGCAAACCATTCCTGTGACTGTTCATTTCAACGAAAAGTTTGGGAACACTAGAAGTAGCTGTGGCGCTAAATCGTTATGTTTACCTTACTTTTATCAGATAATGAAGGGTCTAGGCAGTGGGGACCCTGGTCCGAGTGCAACGTCACATGTGGTGGAGGATATAGAGAACGCAAGTGTATCATGCCTGATAGCCCCGGAAATTCCTCCAAAGAAAATGAATGCCTTGAAAAAACAGAGCAATGTAACAACCACGCATGTCCACCTGGTAAGTTACAACAAAAAGAAATTGCATACAAACAGTCTAGGATACTAATAAAAGTGTGTCGGATTTTGCAAGCAGTTGAATTTTATGAACTTTTCAAATTCAGACTATCATCTTTCCTCGACAGTTCCTGATCCAATTTCTTCTGTCCTGTCCTTCTATTAACCCTTCTGGGACTGGGAGTGTTGAAGGCAGATCTTATTTTCTTAAGAAATCTAGCGATTTTAGATTTTGTCTCGTTTGAGAAAGATAGCACAATTGTGTTGAAATTCATCCTGACAGATAAAGGCATGGTTGCTATAAGCTTAACTAACACTCGTTAACTGAATGGTTTGATGGTATATTGATCATGCATAAGTGATTCAATTTAATTAATCCATATGATTGTTCTTATTTCTTCATTTCCGTGACATTTTTTATCAGAAGGTAAACAACACTTTTCGGTTTATACTTAAACACGAAAACGTAGAAAATCGTGGCAACATTGCTTAGCAGTTGTCAAATTACATTGTTTCTTCAGTTGATGGAAATTATACAAACTGGTCCAACTGGTCTAAGTGTAATGCAAAGTGTGGCAGTGGAACTCAGCAGCGAAATCGTTCATGTTCTAACCCACCAACTGCAAACGGAGGGAAACCATGTGCAAGGCCTACTGAAGAAACACGGATGTGTAGTACTGAAATGTGCACAACTCCAGGTAACTTCTTCTTACATCTATCGTACCTTTGCTTAAGGATGTCTGCACAATGGCATTCAATTACCGGTACACTGTTAAGCAAAAATAATTCTGATTTGTAAGTGTCATCGGCGGTCACTATAGGAAAAATTTCTCCTCGTATAGGTGCCAGCTATGCTTGCCGAAAAAAGTTCACGTATGTGTCTATCAAATCCATTTTTACTTGTTGAATATCTTTACTAAACAACAGTGTCTCTACACAACAAACGGACGGGCGATTCACTGGAACACAAGCAACAGACCTCTGAAAACCGACCGACGAAAACAAAATTTTATGTTATTGCGCCTTCGTACGGGACGGCCACGTAATTCGTCGGCGAGATACAAACTCACATGGGGAGAGTAACTGCCCCTAGAGTAATCCTAATCAGCAGTACTCTCACAATGTATTTAAGCGTAACGAGGAAACCAACACCTTGTAAAACTCTGCATGTCATTTTGATAACTTTATTACACGACTCGAGCAGTCAGAGGGCCAATAACTAAAATAAACCAATCAAAATGCTCTATTGCCGGTCCAATATTCTCTAAGTATTGGACCGGGCACTGTCCCGAATGGTCCCGAATGATACCGCACTTGTGTCCCTTTGAACTTCAGTCGAATAGAAATTCGCTCCGACGAAGGCTTAACACTCGAAACGTCAGCTTTTGTAATCGTTACGGTGGCCCATTTACCATTTCAACTTTGTTGATATATCCAAATTATTTCGTTACTTCCACCGACGCAGCCCCAAACAGTTTCTTTCGAAACTATCAGCCTTTATTCATAATATTTTCAGTTCTGAGTTCACGCGTTGTGGCTGATTTAAAAATTATGAAAGGGAAGTTTTATTCGTCGATCAGTTGTTTCAAAGTGATCTCGATGTTACTGAACACGGTCAGATCCAATAAACCTTAAAACGACCTATGAAAAAGAAATTTATCGGTTCTTCTGACCAGTCACTTCTACGAAATAAGCTTTCGTTTAAGAATTTAGAAAGATAAAGTAATTGAAAGTCCAATTCGTGTTTAAAAAGTTGTTACATTTTCCCAGAGTGGTTTTGATGGGGTCTATAATTGGCCACAGGATTCATTATGATTGGGAAGGTTTTCTGAGAGGCCAGGAAGACAGACACAGCGACAATCAACCCCTCCCCCCCTACTCCGTCAATCCCTATGAGTGTCCTAATTCTTCACTCCTCCGACATGGTTATCTGAAGGTCGACTGCGTTCTTCAGTTTACGCTTAAACACCAAAATATAGAGAGTCAAAGTAACATTGGTTGGCAGTAACCATTATAATAAATTGTTTCTCTAGTTCATGGAAATTATACAAACTGGTCCGACTGGTCTAATTGTAATGCAAAGTGTGGCAATGGAACTCAGCAGCGTAATCGTACATGTTCTAACCCACCACCTGCAAAGAGAGGGACGCCATGTGCAGGGCCTTCTAAAGAAACGCGAATGTGTGGTACTGAAATGTGCACAACTCCAGGTAACTTCTTCTTAGATCTATCGTACCAGTAAATGTCGTATTACATTAGCATTCAGTTGCTGTCACACGAGCACAAATATTATTTACAAGTGTCATCAGGGGAAGGCGGAAGATCTTTTTCGTGTCACGATAATATTTACCGAATCCTCTCTTAAGGCTCTGTAAGATTTTTCATGATCCCTCTCACTGTGAGTTGATTGGCAGTCAAATGTCTAACAGTTCTCACTTTACGCCGCTGTTGTTGGGGACGACTGATCCCCCCACCGTTCCCCTTAACAACCATGCAATCCTCCCAAAATAAGTTCCTCCACTTTCCTCACAGGCGATAAATTTAATAACTGGTCCTCACCTAAGCTTTGGTTTGAGAATTGAGAAAGATTAAGTAATTCAAATTCACGTTTATGTTTACAGCCATTCCTATACACGGTAATTACACAATATGGTCCTCTTGGACTCGCTGCCTTGTCTCGTGTGGAGGAGGGATTCAGACCCGCTCACGTGCATGCACCAATCCTTCACCTGAAAACGGAGGAAGAAACTGCAGTGGCCTTGGTACCAGATCACAAACACGATATTGTAAGAGACGCCCTTGCCCAGGTAGAGTTTTGAAGCGTTCTCACGTGTAATAAATACTAAATTAGAAGGCTTTCTTCGTACTTTTAATGGACGTTTTTAAAAACATATTCATTTCTTTGCCTACCTCTCTTTCTGTCTGTTTCTCTTTTTGCCAATCTACCTTCCCACCCATCTATCCATCTTTCGCTCCATCTATCTATCTATCTATCTATCTATCTACCTTTCAATCTCTCCTTCTTCAGATCTGCTTTCTATCTACTTCTATCGATAATTGTCAATCTATCTTCGTTCTTCCATCTACATGTCTGTTTGTCTGTCTATGCAATAAGTTTAATATTTTTTTCTGTATCGTCTGATATCATTTCGCGAGTTTTTTTTATGTCCTCTTAGTTCATGGTGGTTACTCACCATGGGGCGAATGGAGTGTTTGTACCAAGTCATGTAACACAGGACATCAGTGGCGTGATCGCAAGTGTACCAATCCCAAGCCGGCACACGGTGGGAGAAACTGCGATCGACTGGGACAATGGGGAGGATCTAATCAAGGCCAAAGATGTAACACGGATAAATGTCCAGGTACAACTTTTTGTTATCTTTGTTCTGTTTTTTCTTTTGTTTGGTATACAGTACTAAGCTACCTTTTTCTAAGAGCAGCCAATAAGAATCAGTTACATACGGTTTGAAGCGTTCGCTTGAATCGGAGAAACGACGCTTCTAAAGTTCATCATCCTTTCCCTCCCTACTCTCAAAACTTGATTTTTTGGTTTTCTTTGATACTAGTTTCATTATGTACATTATAGGAGCTTTTCTGAGTGAAGGCACATATTCAGATTATCCCTTCCCGCCATTTGTATCCAAACAAATCCTTAGGTTCTGGATACTTCCTTAGGTAATGAAGTTACCAGCGACAGCAGGGCCCGATCTTCTCGATAAACTTCCTAAAAGCCGACCTCTTGTGGATTAATTTACAACTTTATCATCTTTTAACAAAGTCTCACTTGATATGGGTTTCATGTCTTTAGTCTCCTTTCTTTTATCTTAGAGGCCACCGATTTTACCTTGATTTACTTGTAGTTTACATTAGTGACTAAGCTCTCTGATCAGTGATGAGTTTGATGAGTTTTAATGATGTTTTAACATGACGACAGAAAAGAGAAAAACGTTTTTTTTCTGTTGTCTACGTTACAGGTCATGTATTTTCTTTGAAGCTAATTCTGTATGGAACTAAGGACGATCCCCTCAAAAACAACCCTCGTGTCTCTAAAAGGAAGAAAATATTGCAGGAGGTCAAAATAGACAGACGAAAGAGTGGTACGTTGACCAGATTGAAGCATGCACATATTCCAATACTCATCCTTCACACTACATAGGTGAAAAATGAATGTTACAAAGAAAAATGTAAAGAAGAACTGCATTATCAAAATTATCTTCAATTAAAGCGATAAAATCTAAGACGTTTCGGTAACAACAGTCTATCGTCATCCTTAGACTTTCCAGTTCATGGAGGATACTCACCGTGGAGTAAATGGCAGAATTGTAATAAAACATGTGGAGGAGGAATCCAATGGCGCTCTCGTTCCTGTAGCAATCCTCCACCTGCCAATGGAGGGAGAAATTGCCACTTACTAGGAAAAGATTCACAATCACGAAGATGTAACACAAAACCTTGCCCAGGTAAACCTTACACGAAGCTGGCCTCTAAAGAACAACTATTAATACTACCTATTTTATCTATCACTGAGCCGAATCCTTGAGGCCTTTTCTGCTAAAAAAGGACTATCTTTAGCCCCTTCGTTTACTATTTTTTCGTGTTCTTCTTCCTCAGTTCATGGCGGTTACTCGCGTTGGTACGCCTTGGGTAGGTGCAGTCGGACATGTGGTCAAGGAAGACAGCTATTCCTTCGATACTGCAACAATCCTCGACCAGCACACGGAGGACGAGGCTGTAGGAGACTGGGACCGCGTTATGAGTACCAAACTTGTAACACACAAAAGTGTCCAGGTAGACTTTTGACAAAAGAGTCAAATGAGTTAAAGGACAGAAAAAACATGAAAATGGTAGAATACCAGTCAAGTCATTTGGGATTATGCTCCTTTCTATGGTTTGTTTTGCTATGAGAGTACTATTATCAAGCTGAAATACGATACTACTACATTTGGCGGTTTTTATGTATCTTTTTTATGATTTCTTGTGTTCTCTTTCTTCAGTTGATGGCGGTTACTCTCCTTGGCAGCGCTTGCATGAATGCTCTCGCTTATGTGGTGGAGGAACTGAACATTTTATTCGTTATTGCGACAATCCCCGGCCAGCACACGGAGGGAAGAATTGCTCGAGACTTGGACCAGCTGAGAAAAGCCAAAGTTGTAACACACAGAAATGTCCAGGTAAACTTTTACTCTGCGGGTGAAATATTTATAAAAGCTAGTCAATATACATCACGCAGCGCGAAATATACACAGTGATATTACAGCTGATATGGATTCAATTTGTTTTCTTTCAAATGTTTTATCACATTATAAAATAGTCATTTTGTTGCTGCAACATCAGCATTTACTGTTTTGTGTGGTTGGTGGATAGTCTTCTTTAATATTTTGTAAAATTTAATTTTTCCTTCCTGAGCTGCTCATGGCGGTTTCTCTAAATGGCACTCCCGTTGTGAATGCAGTCGGTCATGGTTCGATTCTGAGACAATCCTCGACCAGCACACGAAGGTTGAGACTGCAGAAGACTGGGACCATATCGTGAATACCAAAATTGTAACTTACAGAAGTGTCCAAGTACAGTTTCAACCAAAGTGTCGAATGAGCGGGTGAAATTTGCTATGAGAATACATCAGCACGAAATAAACAAGATGAAATTACAGCTGCTTAGGATTCCAATTGTTTTCGTTCTAATGATCGATTAGGTTTTAATATAGCTATTGCGTAGCTGCCTCACTCGCATTCACTATCATAAGGGGTTAAAGAAACAAAAAGTCTTGACATGCGTTGAATTGTATCGTTGTTTCATTCAAGCCAACAAATAATTAACTAACAAAAAATTTATCCAACGAACAAAAGAACGATTCAAAGTTCTCCGTAACCAGATAACGGAGAAAGTAAATAAACGAAGGGAAAACAAAATCCAAACGTGCCATGTGCTTTTCTTCTCCAACTCCACAATAAAGAAAAAAGGAAAAACAGTCAATGAGGTCAGCGGCTCAGTGTATATAAGCCGTCTCAAAGTGTCTACTTCAAACTAACAACGTTTGCACTCTCCTTAACAGTTCATGGCGGTTTCTCAAAATGGCGCCCCTGGGGTGAGTGCACCAAGTCATGCGGTGGAGGTCCACAATTAGGCCATCGATCTTGCAACAATCCTCGGCCAGCCAACGGAGGACGAAGCTGCCTGAAGCTGGGACGAACGAAAATAATCCAAAGCTGTAACACACAGAAGTGTCCAGGTAAATTTTACTATGCGGGTCAATTAGTGAAAGATCACTAAATCGTTAAAACCACAAGATTAAATAGAGAAAAATGTTTGATTCTGCTCACGGAAAAAGAATAAAATATGGATTAATTTATTATAGTAATTAGGATATTATTCGATCATTGGCTATCCCAAAGATAGCCTCAGGGTTAACCCTCCTGTTGATGCATTTCTGTGAGTTCTTGACTTAAAGTATTGCTATACCTTTTTGGTGGAATACCAGAACATTGCAGGAAATCCACAAAAATTGTCCGTTATCCATATACACTTCGGAGTGGATAGCGGCACTCTAAAAGTGTCTTCTCCGACCACTTAGCCAATATTTGTCTGAATCTCACAGTCTCAAATTTCCAGGGTTTATGCGACTGAAGACCTTAACGTTAGAAGCAGCGCATAAGTGAAAAGAGAGACCATTTTACCCCACTTGATAAACTTATCATAATGTCCTGTGTCCATTCAGTTAATGGAGGTTACAATTCATGGAGCAGCTGGAGTGTTTGTAGCAGGTCATGTGACGGAGGAACGCAGATTCGTTCTCGTAATTGCACCAATCCTCCGCCAGCAAACGGTGGTAAAAACTGCACAATCATAGGACCAGATTCAGAATCGCAAAGATGTGCGACAAACAAATGCCCAGGTAATTAAAGTCAATAAATACTCCTGTCATTTTTCTTATTTTGGAAGCCCATCTTGACCATAGCCATGGAAAGACTACAAGTATTGTTTTTCCATCTTACATGTTATTTCCAGTGGCGTCAAATCATTCTTGTCAAAGTTTGGTAGCTCATAGCTACTGCATGAGGTTCAAACTGTTTTGAAACAGCCGTTAAGACCTGCCAAGATGTGTGGCAAATGCAAAGATTTTTTTTCTTTCCTTGACTATGTTATTTAAGTGACGAGACTTATAAACGGAGGGAGGATCAGTCGTCGCCAGAGTATAATAAAAAGACTATAGAAATCGATTGCCAATCAACTGTAAATGAGGGGGCATCATAAGCATCTTACAAAGCCTTATGGGGGGAGCAGGCAAATTTTATCGAGGCACAACCAAACTCCTCCTACCTGCTTCACTCAGGCGATTTCGATTGGCGATTGGCTATGATTTGTTCCACAGAGAAACATGAAATGCAACAATATTAGTGATCATTGCATATTCGTTTCAAGATTAAATTTATGACCATTTTTACCTCGCAGTGGATGGGGGATACTCCCACTGGTCTCCCTGGTCTTCGTGTAGTGATACCTGTACCGGAAGTCAGAATCGTACACGTTCATGCACCAACCCGCCGCCTACAAATGGAGGGGCACTGTGCGAGGGAGTCGCTCTAGAAAAACGAGAATGCACGAATAAAAACTGTGAAGACCTTGTCGGTAAAAGTTTTTCTATGATAAAGACTGCGGTGTTTCACAAGGATTTCCAGCTCTGAAAAAAGTCGTAACAAAACACCGGTAAAATCCCGATAATTATTACCAATCAGCTGCTGACACGTCACTCGCCTTTCGCGCCGCTCTGTTAGGTTGATAAATGAATATGGCTCAAGATTCAACACATTTTTTCACCTAGAGCCTTATCGCCCACGCACCGTTACGACTTTTCGCGGATGGTCGATCCTTTGTTTTTTTTTTTTTTTTTCTTTCATAAATAAAGTCGTCTTTTCTCGTCAGTAAAGGCCTATTATGTTTATGCAATAAAGAAAATAATACCTGGTTGCTCGTTGTTCCTCTCGTATTCCTCACTCGGCTCCGTGCTTGCATACTTGAAGAAAATTTTCACATCTAGGTGCGTCCATCTATTGTTCTCTGATTTATTTTGAGATTTATTTGATGCACAGGCAGACAATGTAATAATATTAGATTTAGTTTTCATGATTTTATAGATAGATTGTGGTATACAAAGTAAATACAACAATGGAGTCACGTTCTAGGAATACCCTTGGACCAGAAAAGTGCCCTATGCACTAAACGTTGTTAAACGTAAACGTAAAACAAATCTAACATACATGTAGCCTATATCCATTTTTTGTATTTAATTTGCATCCACCGAACAAAATATCTCAGTATGATAAAAATGACTGCCTGTCCTCCATTGCTATTTGAAATAAGAAGAATACATTGATATGGTATAAAGAATTTCATATTCTATTACTAATTGAGAGATTTGATGTTGGTATCTTTCTGCTTATAGTAATAACAGAGCGTACTTCTTGTCACGATATTACTGGTGAGGAAGAATGCAGACAACGAAAAAATGGGCGTGGCTGTGGGAAATGTATTTGGGGTTAGTCATTTCTCTGTTAGCTTTAAAGTTGCACATGCACATCAAACTGGAAAGGTAATTCAACTTATGAAATAACATTTATTAGCGGGAGTAAAATGACGCACTCGCTTAGGATAAATGATATCATGATGAGCATTACTTTTAAGAAATTTAAAAAAAAAAAACACGAAGACAGAGAAGGTGATCAAATGTGAACTAACGCCTGGAAATACAACTAATAATTTATCATGTTATCAGGAAAATGTACTCTACGTGAAATCCTAAGGTAAGTAAATGAATGATAGCTGCTTGTATACGCGTGAACAGCTGATTAACACTAAATTGAGATGTAAAACATCACATGGAAATGAAGGCTAATGGTGAGGGGGGAAATAAGGTATTTAATCAGTTTGGAAATAAATGGAAAACAGAAAAGTGAGAAACATATATATGAACTAATTATTTTCAGATGAAGTCATCATTCCAACTGATGGAGGTTATTCCAACTGGAGTCATTGGACTTCATGCAGTCAGACGTGCGGAGGAGGAACACAGACTCGCTCTCGGCTATGTACCAATCCCCCACCTGCAAATGGAAGAGAAGGCTGCGAGAGACTAGGGGAAAAAAAAGAAACACGCACTTGTGGAACACAGAAGTGTACCGATTAGCGACAAAACTCGATTGAAAAGGAAGACAGCGTTTGGAGGATGGTACAACTTAGTTCATTTGTCGCACATGACTGGTTTCTAATCGATCTTAACAGCAATAATTTTTTGTCCAAGAGGCCAGCTATTAGTCACCGTCTAGGAAGGAGGGGGAGGGAGGATTTTCGGGAGGATTACATGATTTTCAGGGAGGGGGAATCAGTCGTCTCTAACAGAGCATAAAAGGGGGGACTATGGGAAAAAATAGTGGCCAATAAAAGGGGAGGGGCGTCATAAGTATATAATAAAGCCTGATAGAGGTATTAGGTTAACTCCATAGTAACACAACCAAAATATGATACCTCCATCAGGCTTTATTATATACCTATGACGCCCCCCGAAAGATCACTAAATCGTTAAAACCAAGATGTGACTTCCAGCATTCTGGGACATATTTGTCAAGTAACCCTTTATTACCAGACATTGATGTAAGTATCAGTTAAAAAATACTTATTTGTTGTCTTTGGTTGTAATTCACAAAGTTTATCATATAAGGGGCAAAATTGCTGAATTGTGATTGATCAAGACAGAGGGCATTCTTTTCTTAATTTTTGTAATTGCCCCAGGCAAAATTACTTGAAAATGATTGGCTGAAAATCACTTAGCGATGGCTGCCAAGGTAAAGGAATTTCTGTTTGTTTTGTAACAATGGTGTCCAGTTTTGTGCAAGATCAGTAAGAAAACATTTTGCCCCTTATATTATAAACAAGTAATCACATGGTTCCTCGTAAAATTAGGGATTAATATCACTTGTGTTTTGGGAAGTTGCAGAAATTGCCCTCGTCGCTGCGTGACTTGGGCAATTTCAGCAAATTCCAAAAACACATGTGATATTAATCCTTAATTTTACTCGGCCCCATGTGATTACCTATACAAATAAATAAATAAATAAATAAATACGTAAATTGAGGCTCCCCCTCAGGGCCTTTTCAACCACAATGTAGACAAACTAATTGCTTAAAAGTAGCAGAATGGGCATCCTCGGAGACCCAGGGGCTGAGTGGATTTCAAGTTAGGGCATGAAGAGCCCCTGGGGACATTGTCTTACAAGACTAGTTCCAAACGGTCGCAGTCGTTCTGCCATCTGATTGGTACCAGAAAATCTTTGTGTTTTTCTGCCCAATCAGAGTGAAGTGTGCTTTAGAGTCCTTTCGTGTGTTTTAACACGGACATATACTAGTAGCTCAGTTGCTCGCTATGTTTGTCTGGATCGTGCGACGGAGATTTGCTTGAGGTGAAAAGTTTCAGTCTCAGCACACAATGTAAGAGAAATCGATCAGATTGTCCGCGAAAATCTTACCGGAAATTGTACTGAATACTTT